AGAGAACTTAGACAACAATGAGGACACTAAGAGAGACTTACATAGATCTAATCTACATGGGAAGTAGAAAGTAGAAAAAGACAAGATCTCCTGAGTAAATTGGGAGCATGGGGAAATGGGGGAGGGCTCAAGGGCGGAGGGGAGAGGCAGGCAGGGGAGCAGAGAAAAATGCAGAGCTCAATAAATATCAATAAAAATATTTCTCTCAGCTGGTGACTCAAAACCTGCCTTAAACATTAGGATGAAATTGATATTGTAAATTTAGTCATTGTTTCAGGTACTAAAACTGAATCATAATTAAAAATTTAGGCGTGAATTAAACACCTTAGTCATTAAGTCCAAGTCACCAATAATTGATCAGAGTCACATTAAGGAAAACAAAAATACTTCCTTTTGGAGTCATTTAACCAAGAGCAAGTTCAGATTTGAATTCTCTACTACCTGTTCCTCGGGTCATCCCTCCTTCTAACGAAGGCCTTCTGCTCTGTACTCATCGAACTAACTGCACAGGAAGCACTGGATGGGGAAGGAATGGCACGCTTGACAGAAATCTCTAACAGAGTTTTTACAAGGATTAAGTCACTGACTCCAATAGACGCCACCTGAACCAGATAGCAAACGGTATTACAAAGATCACTTTATCAGCCAAAGCCCATACATGGACATGCATTTTAGAAGATGGCTTTCAATCCCTGTATTTGCAGCCCTCAGCAAATGATACATGTGCGTTGTTGTGGGTCAGGAGCGTGGTTTAAGATTACAGCCATACATTAGCTTAGATTGTAAAAGCTGTTTACGTGGGAAATCCAAGACAAGTTAGATTGGTTGCAACATTGTTCTCCTAGAGGAGGGCTAAACAGTTTGAGTACACAGAAGAGCAGCCCTTTTAAGTCTTTAGTGATCCCAAGGTGCATTATTAACTCTGGCTGTGAGGTCCAGTAAGAGTTCCAGCCTCTTAGAATATAAAAGATATTTTTTTAGTTCAATTCATTGCCATAAAAATATTCATCGCATTGCACGTTTATTCAATTCATGATCTATTGTAGCCTAGAAGACATGATATATGGAGGCGGGAAGAGGAACAATTTCATTATATATTGCAATCATGATGTGAGTATAATTAATTAAAACTTGACTACAGTCTAGTTAATTCATTTAGTCTTAAGTATTACTTTATTCCCTAAAGGCAGAGAACTTAGTAAGTTAAATGAGCGTATAATGAAGTATAACTTTAACTACCTTCCCATCACCATTGCCTTTCTAATATCCAACACAGGAAACACACATACACACACATCTCAAAGTACACAATAACTTCCTAGAATCTGGGTTCCACTGTACCAGATGTATGTTCTTCGTGCATAAAGGATTAAACCAGCCACATATTTTTTCTTTTCCTTTTTTTTCTTTTCTTTCCTGCTTTTTAGACTTTTTGCTTGCTTATTTTTTGAGACAAGGCCTCATTAATGTAGCCCAGGCTGGACCTAAAATTCTTATTTCTTTTGCTTGTGCCTCCTGTATGCTGGAATTATAGTTGTGCACCACCAGATTGGGATTCTTTTTATCTTTCTATTTAATGAAATTCTTGGTAATAATTATCAGATGAAGCCGTGTGCAGGCCATCATGCTGATCTAGCTAACAACAATCTGAGGAAAATAATTTGCATAAATAGACATTATAGTACAGACCTTTTTTGGGGGGGGTTGAGTCAGGGCAGACCTTATTTTATTTTATTGTTTAGAGGGTAAATAAATAGAACACTTCATAATTTCCTGTATTTGCCATCTCTGAATATTCTATTGACTGGAGTTTTTTGCCTTTTGAAAAATAAATTACTAATCTTCAATCCAAGTTGGGCTTAGACAAAGCTGTATTTCACTTGTAATTGCTAGTCTTCATCTCTCAGAGAAAGGTTCATAGCGTATTTGCTGATTTGTGATCGGCAAACAGTTACCATGCTAAACGGGAAAACAGAACAAATGTTAACTTCCTATCTGTTGGGAGAGAGAGACCCTGGTAATAACTCAGTTTTCATGAATTGAGATGGTCCCCGGACCTATGGTTTATTCTGGCTTTAAAAATCAGTACAGGTAGCCAGGTGGTGGTGGCGCACGCCTTTAATCCCAGCACTTGGGAGGCAGAGGCAGGCGAATCCCTGTGAGTTTGAGGCCAGCCTGGTCTACAGGAGCTAGTTCCAGGACAGGCACCAAAAACTACAGAGAAACCCTGTCTCGAAAAATCAAAAAAAAAAAAATCAGTACAGGTATAATGTGGATTTCTTTGGAGACATTGTTTTCCTGGTTCAGCCTGCAATGAACCAATTACACAAATTTGAGTGTATTGCGGTATTGTTCTTTTAAATTTTTCCTCTCTAATACTTGGGAAGTTAATTAATTGAATAACTGAGATCAAGTTTAATAGGGATGTGACCTTTTTCATGTCTCCTCAAATTCTATCAATTTTGAATTCTTTTCTGAGTTTGGTCAAGTTCTTTGACCTAACCTTTCCTTTATTTCTTTATTCCTTCCCGATATTTGTTGAGAGTGGGAGAGATAGGATCTTGGTGTGAAGCCTACAATCTTCCTAGCTCATCTCCTGAGTGCAAGGATTTGCTTGATGTTACTTCTTTCACAGTTTCTCCCTTCCAAGAAACAGGTGATATCCTGTGCTGGGAACTTTGATTCTGATGGGATGCAAAGAAAACTGTGGCCAGCAGTTCTGTCTTACATATAGAGCACAAACCTGAGAATGTAGGTGGGTCAGGACAAGAAAGATGTGAATTCTTTTGATCATCTCTGGTACTTGTCTCAGTGGCTAAGGTCAGACAAAGCCTGTACCAACTGGTTACAGCATGGGCCTTTTATGTGCTGAAAGATACTATGAACTCGAAGGTACAGTAACTTTTGTTTTATTAATTTGATTTTAATAGCGATTTGAATTGTACAATTTGGGCACGTGGAGGTCACTCTTGGTAGTTGACTAAGCAGAACTGTGTCCCTGCTGAGGTAAATTCTCATTCTGTTTGCAGATGAGGAAAGTGAAGCTTAGAAAGAGGATCAGTAACCTCCCCCAAGACCATACAGCTAGTAAGTGACAGATTTAAATAATCTATTTGATTTTATAGTTGTTATAAATGTAGAACAATGATCTCAAATGGAACAATTACATCTGCGATTCTTCACAATTGATTCTTCTTATCATTTAGCCACTTGTTTCAGCTCTTGTGGGAAACTGGGTTATAATCCTGGTTTTGAGCGCCTTACTTGATAACCTTAATGGTGTCCCTTAAATTCTCTGCGTCTCTATATAGTCCATTGAACGAATAGGCTGGTCACATGATCACACAGCCCTTTTGTCTAAAGCCTGCCTCCTAACACTGTGGATTCAGCCTTTGAAGGTACAGTGTTTATTCACCTTCCTAACACTAGCTGGAGTAAATATACATTTCCTAGGAATGTATTAGTCACCCTTACTTAATGTATGTCGATTGCATAGGTAATAATTGCAATCGTTTACTGCATTTCTTGTATACCAGGCAATCTACTGAGTGCTCTACACAGAAGACCGCATTAGCTCCCCACAACTTTATAAGGTGAATTTTAAAGCTCCTATTTAAGAGCGGAGTCATCCAAGGTCAAGTATGTAAGTAGTGAAGCATGTCAGAATGCTAGCAGCCGGGTGTTGGCAACAAAGCCCTTACATGTTTAATTAAACAGTAACGAAATTGTATTTTTTGCTTTTGTTGAAACACAATCTCACAATGAAGCAGAGGCTAACCATTCCCCTCTGCCTCCCAAGAGCTGGGATTACAGCACATCAAGCAGAAATCGATCGCCTTTTCTACTTATTTATTTAGGCCTGGGGATCACGGTCACAGTTAATTTAAACGCAGTTTTTTTTTTTCTATTTTGATACAGTATCGTTCTATTTTACTGTTTACTTCCATTCCGCTTATAACTGATGAATGAGAGGAGATTACTATTTTCATGGTGAGTGTTAGGCCGAATCTAAACAAGCAGCCAACTGCCGCCAAACGACCGGGCTTTGTGCCTCTGCCGCGCTCCGCGAGTGTCCTTCCGCGACAGCCAGCCTTTCCGAGAACCCGCGTTCTTGCGCGAAAAACTATATCTCCCAGAGGGCCCCGCAGCCGAGAGCGCGGGCTCGACCAACCCTTCCTTCCTTTGCCCATCCCCCCCCCGTCGTCGCAGCGTGATGATGCAAACGCGTCGGGCGCCG